ATGGAAAATTGAAAGGGGAAAAAGCCCCGAAAATGATCTCTGCCCGTCTCAGACCGACATGAATCGAGAAGTAAAGCAGGGAAACCTTTATAGTCGGCCGTCTCCACCTTTTCATCCGTCGCACCGCCGTCATTATTGTCATCGTTCTCTTTGCCGAGGGTTTTTAATCAAGAGTTCAAGGGACAAGAAACTAAAGATGGTTTAATACTTAGAGGTTAAACGCGATATCCTTAGAATTTCATTATTTCAACGGTATCATATCGCACGAGTATTTCGAAAGAGTTACGGCTCAGACAAGTTTTTCAAGAAGAACGAAAAGTTAGCTTGCAGAAATATTAAAAGATTTAGAAACTTACAAAAATATTATGTATACGTTTAATTTTCATTGCGTCAGGGAACAATGGCTAAATATCGTTTTCGTAATTTTCCACGCTTAACCCTCGAAATCTCCCTTTCGTGTTTCCTTTTCAAACAAAGGACTAAATTATTTTGAGTCGTAACATTTTTTAAACACACGTGCAACATCGCCGTATCATCCAGGATAAAATTTTACACAAACTGGCTTTTTATGTTCCGACAGGATAGTATGAGAAAACTAAATGCCATCAAATACAGCAAATATAAAGAGGGAATCGTTCCTTCAATTTCCACAGAGCGAGCAATGAGTCTAATTAAAGTGACTTCTCTCGCGTGTTCTTTGAACGATTCATTTAATTCGGATACTAAAATAGATCGTCGTTGATCTAGTGCTCTTATTTAAAGAACTTGACCTATCCTTTTTAACTTTCCTTCGAGCTTGCGCTAACTTGTAAATACAAAGTGCCAAATAAAACAGGGAAATATGAAATCAGAGAACAGCTCTCGTATCATAAGCGTGATATAGACAAAGCTATTTTCTCTTTTTTACAGCGTTGACACGAAAGCAATCGTAACTTTTAATTTTATATCTACCTAAATCGCCACTGCAATTTTATGAAATGTTTGCATTACCTGGGATGAGTGACCCGAGCGATAAAGTTGCGTGATGAACGGTACGTGACTGAAGATCAGAAAAATGCTTAGCTAGGATTTTCATCAACATCAAGGAACGATTCAGAGAATGCACGTAATGCAATTGTCATATAAAAAGTATACCTAAAACTACCCAGAAGTGCGTTTCTCTTATTAATGACCAACAAAGAATATTTCTTGTAGATAAAAAAAATTCGATCCTAAATAAATTACGAATCAGCATTGTTACTTTAACGTTAAATAATTTTATCAAAAAATTCGTTCATCTCGTGTTCCATGTCGCAATAAAATCACGTTGCTCTTCCGGCCAAGCTACTTGCAAAATTCCAACGGTATTTTTTCCTCGAATCGTCAGCGTATAAGCATAATATCCCCTTGGGATAAAGTTCGCCCATAAAGGATGAGTTCAACGTCTTTGAGAAAACTCAATTAAAAATTTGAACGTCGGGATATCGTTGAAAAGTTGTTATAACGATCTCAGGGTTGGATCTACGAGAAATCACCGCAATAAACGAGTATTTCGAACTCGGGAAATGTTGCGTGCTCATAGTACGAACTTCCTACGCAAAAAGAATGAATTTCAAGCTTAAGAAGCAGTCGGAAAATTCTCTGGCTAGACGCCAGGGATCTTCTGTCACTGGCATGCACACTTCACCGGTTTAACAAACTACCACCCGTCTGCGATCACCCCTCTTGCTCATCCTCTTCCCGATCCATAGTCGTGAAACGATTTTTTCAGCCATGTTAAAAAGTCGTCGGGCGTTCGAAAAAAAATTCGCGTCGGGTTAAACGGATTCAACGACTTCTGTTCTTTGTTCTCTGCATTTTAAATGTGTACAGAGTGGCGAGCACTAATTGGTTTTAATTGTTTAAAATGTCGGACCGAGATCAAATGCAGTCCTTGGCCATCGAATTAGGACCATTTGTAGCTTTCAACGTCGTTTGCTTTCTTTTTTTCTTTTTAATCGAAAGGTACAAACCAACTTTACATACACATACAGCATAGATTATTTTATTCAGCATGTGAAATCATCATAGTGCCGATACGGTCTTTGGCTATTTATTATTCGATTGTTTGAAACTCTTTTGCTAAAGCATTGAAATATGGTAAAAAATGTTTAGTAAAAATTCTAAGGAAGATATCGTATGTATACTTTAAAGCAACCTCTTCGCCGAATTCTTAACTTTCACATGTATTTCGAACCCTGTTGTTTCATCTCGATAAAGCCAGAAATTAACTAAATTTTCTGTACGGTATTTATAGCCTGGGCTTGGGAAATTGGAGGGTTAAATTTATCTCTTTTCGCTTTCGAGTTATTAAATTTTCATTCAGTACCCTGCTAGACAACCTGTTCCCAATGAAGCTAGGGGTAGTTTTCTGCGTTTCCCATTCAAACGAACGTTATCACGGGGAGTATTGTAGAAAACTGAGGGGCAGATCATTTAGTTTGAGAATCTGATCCACTGGCAGATTAGCTCGATGACCTTAAACGCGTTTAAATTGCAAGATTAACCGGCAGTAGCGATTAGCGGTAAAGATTTAACCTTGCTCCATTCCTGAAGGTAGGTACATTAATTCTGTCGCGTTCGTTCCAGTACACAGACAGTACTTCTGGATTAAAGGTGTCTTCGCTCTACGTTTACACGTCATCCTCGTCGTGTGTAAATTTTAGTTCTGTGTCAGAACTAAAAAATTCAATAGCTCAAGGTGGAATGGTATTTCGAGTGTTTAATTGCATCGTGCAATTGGTTGCCTCATTACCGAAGAATTTGTTCGTGAAAAACAAAGGTATTACCTTCGAATATGCTCAAACACATACACAAACGCGTGCGCGCGCGTCATCGTTCCAAATTAAAGGTTTTATCTCACGGCAAATACTACAACCACATGAATAAACTCGTGGTACAAACTTAAGACACGGTAAATATGTGCGCAAGTATAACTGACACCAATAGCCAAGTATAGCAACTTCGTAGAACATAATCGGATTACGATGTAGTTTATATGAAAGACACTTGTATTGTTCGTCACATTCGGTTTTGTCTTACATTTCTTTTATTGGCATTAGCGAGTGATCAGTAGCATCCTCGGTCATCGAAGTGTCCGGAGGTCGGTGCAAGTTTGACGCGAGGTTAAGCGACACTGGTGTTAATCAAATTTCAATTTCCATCCGCCGTCAGGTCGGCGCGAGGGGCTCGTTCGTCGATTTCGTCGAATTAATAGGCTGCGTGACGTAGAAAGCTGATAGAGGAAGATACCGGTGTAGCAGTAATCCAACCGGCGCAACACGAAGGTTAGAGGATGTTACTACGAAATATCTATGCATTGGTTTATTTATATAAGCAAATTATTCGTCTGCGAGTGAAATCATTTGATATTTTATATTTGAAACTATTTCTGATTCTACCGTCTCAAAATATCAGCGCTTCATAGTCCGATGATCGTAACTTACTTCTTAATGATTTGGCAAATCTGTCTAAGTAAGTTTTCATAAACGTGCTAATACGTGTTTGGACGTTCAACTGTTTAAAATTATTTTTCATTCTGTTACTTCAAACCATAGATTCTTCATAGTCCAACGTTTCGAATGAGATAATTTTTACACGTGTCAGAAATTTCTCAATAATTTAAATTTACACAAGTTTCTATATGTGTTCCAATACTTACGAGCAAGGATGTACCTACGCTCGTGTTCTTTCGGTTAAGGTCACATTTGCGTTTGAGATCTTCGCATAAATTACGTGCCTGTTTATTCGCATTCTTTGCATCTTTTATTGGCGCCTACATCTGGCGTCGATGTCAATGTCGCAAATGACATCATTATTAAATGAAATTGCAAGTGCTCAAGCGTGATCTGTAAGAAGAAGAAGAAGAATTCAATCTAATCTTGGCTATGCCAAAGAACCGTTTCAACCCTTGCGCAGTCGTGCTCGCGCCTCCCTCGTGCCACTGCTCAAATGAGTTTACCCACGTTCGGCTACCTGTTGCCTTCTTTTCTTTCTTTTCACCGGTCCTCTGATAATATTTACGCATTTGCGCGTCAGACGGCACTCTCTCAAGGGTGTACCTACACGGAAGAAGGACGCATTCACGCACGCGTCTTTCAATTGGCCCCGCTGCCATTCTCGTTTTGCGCCCCTCGCGCTAACGTGATATCCCACTTAAATCGAGATTAAAAGCCGACGCGTACAAAGACCGGCCTCCATGTGAACGCTCACATAAACTTCTTCCGGGTTCTACAGATATTACGGCTGCTTGGTATTACACGACGCCGTAAAGAAAATTTCCATCAGTGATAGTAAACATTGTTGAAACACGCTGATAGATACATCGAGAGAGTCGAAGTGCAGCTCGTTGGTTCATTGATCCCATTAGAGAACAAAGTTAACGCTACATTTCACTCGTAACTTTTTTTTTTTTTATGGATTTACGTTATTGAAATTTATCGGATCTACGTTGCACTTGCGTAAACGAATGTCGAGAATTGGATCGATATACTTTTTCTTTGTTATTTCTTCTTCCATCCAAGTGGTACAATTTTATGAAATCCAAAGAAAGTCAACTATTTTACGTTACTATTCTCGGATCATAGAGATCGTTTTTGTACCTTCTATTTGTGCAATGAGCTTCTATATTGTGTCTACTATTTGAATACATTTTCTATATTTTTTCTGATTCGTAATAACAAACTGGGATTTGTAATGTTAAGGATGAAGCGAAACAATCTGCCCTAAGCAAAGCGAACGAAGTAATTTTTTTAGGATTATACGTCACATTATTTCTCATCCACCAGCGTTCATTCGTTTCCTACTGTGTTGCTAATTAACAAGCAACGAAGATTCAATAAAAATAAATCCGACAATCTCCAATAGCGCGAATAGAAACTTGGCGATTGAAATTCGCCAATCTGATTAATCTAATAAATAACGTTAATAATATAAATTTACATGAAAAAGTAATCGTTCGCGTGATCGTTGTATTGTTCCAGTGACGTCTGAGGCAAAGTGGAGGTTGAGATTCGAAATAATAGCGTGGTTAACAGGTGGAAAAGAGTTGACGTTCGCGAAATACCACCACGCGTCACGCAGGGGTGGTGGGTCTATGGGGGGCACCGCCCCAGCGGCCCCCCGGCTCCAGTCCAAACGGAAACTGCCGGAACGGTGCTATCCTGGCAAGGTCCAAGACCGCTCCGCTTCCGGTACCACCGTCAAAACGGATGAAGAGCCCCTCCAACATCATGAGGCAGTCTAGCCTCACCAAGCTTGGCTCCATGATCAATACCGCTGTGAACAAGAGAGTCGGTGAGTTCTATCTTTTTTCGTTCTTTATTTTCCTCCTGCATCATCCGCCCTTCTTCCCTTTCTTCTCTTCAATACCGCGCATTATTAACTCTCCGAGCCTTAAAATGTTTGTGTGATGGCTGGAAATAGTAATTTCTGTTCGAGCAGAGATAGGGGTAGAGCAGAGTGGGGAAACAAATTTTCCCGTCACGACGTTTAATTAGGATTTTGAAATTTATTGAAATATTTCGAAATAAATAGATGCGTTTCCTAGACGCGTGCATATAAGTCGCGATCGTAATTGTATTTCTTGGTATTTAGAGCTCGTTAATTTTCATAGAGATAAGTAGAATGGATAAGAACAAGATTCTACACGGTTCGTTATAATCGAAACATTGAGAGTAAAAGTGGAGTAAGCCAGATTTTTTCTACGCGTGAGTTTATTGGATTAATGTATTCCAACAAGCTCTATTAATCAAACGAAAATGGTGAAATTCATTTTTTCCAGATCAAATTCAGATATCATGGGGAAATCAGTTGTTGCACTGAATATCTTGTGCTCGTGCCTATTTTTGATAATCAGTTACTCGGTTAAATCAGTTACTTCGCCGAGTCCATATTTACTCTCAATGTTTCAATTATAAATTCAAGCAGGTGATTAACATCGAAAAAAATTAGAACTAAGAAGCTTTTCTAACACGCAGTTTATTCAATTCAGCAAGTTTGTCTTGCGGACTCTTTTTCAAGAAAACTCGTCGAATGCCTTTGGTAATACGATTGTTATGGGTGTTCAATCGTCGATAATTGCTTTCCGTATACAAGTGTATCGATGTGAACCGTTTCGAGCACAGTTTACATTTAGCGGTCAGTTAGTAAACTCGATGTCACCTGACAATAACAGTATGTTGTCTCGATCGTGATGAATATCGCTCGAGAAAACGGTTTGCAAGGATCATCAACGAGAATGAATTTGCGAAATCATATCATTGTCGGACAGTACAGTATCGATTTCAAAAGAATCTTGGTCGAAGAAGCGATGCGAAGCATCGAGAACATCCTGAGATATGACGAATCCTTTTATGATGGTGAGTAGAACGAATATTTATAACTAATATCTACAGTTACGGTTTTTGAAAACAGCACGTTGAACTGGTCGTTGGTGCAACACTCTGTTTTGGGGAAAATCAGAAGAGTGAATGAATTTTGAATATTGTTGGTCACACACGCGATTCGATCGATTTTCCATAGATGTGGAAAAAATTCGTATATATAATACGTCCTCTAAAAGGTCGAACGATCTATACTGAATTCGAGCGGATCTTCAACGCATTCGAGCGTGAACTTATCGCACAATCGAAGCTTATAAATTTCGTAAGAACAATGAGTGTCTGCCAGGCTTGAACAAATTTTATTTCAAACATGGATAAAAAATAACGATTAGAAATAACGAATCACTTCGACCGCTATATTGTTTTAACTTTAGGAATAATACAGGGGAAAAATGTTATTTTGTGTTAAAATTTAATCATTTTTTGATAATTTCAGTTACTTTTTTTAAATGGAATAATTTTGAGTCGAATTATTATACAACTGTTATTATTACAAATCAGTTTAAAATTCAGTCGTTAATTAAAGCGATACTTTTATAGGATATTAAAAAAGTTTCGTTTCACGAGAACACGTGATGTCTACTTTTTCGAAAACACACTTACGCTTGATTCATAGCAAATATCTCGTCCAGGTAAACGTTGCACCGGCTCTACACGCTTGTTAGAGTTCATTACAGATTCATTAACATCCTCCCCCTAACACGTTCGACAACGAGAGTTTCGTGTGTCGTACGAGCTTATACACTTTCGTACCAGTTCGAGACAGTCGTTTCACTTGCAAACGTTTGCGCCGTACGAAACGCTTATTTGTTTAATCTATTCGAACCTCGGTTAATTGTTCGAACCAACGGATAATATAAAAATCGTTCGTTTATTGACACAGTGAATGAGAAAATAATTCGTGTGCTCTTAGTTTTTACACGTTCGATCATTGATCGTATAGTTGAATTTTTTAAATAAAAATTCATCGTACAGCTCCTCTTGTGGCAAATACGTTGTGATTTGAATTTCAATTCTTTACTTTGAAGTACCGGTTCGAAACTACGCCCAAAGTTTCCTCTTGCTCGTCTGCGTTGCCACAATCTTCACTTTGAATTACAAATTTCTGTGAGCAAAGTGAAAAACATACTACTTTATACGAATTTAGTTTGTAAATTTAGAATGTGGCGGGAAAACTAACGTCATTGGCCCTGCGATTAATATTTGCCAAACACTATTTATATTTTTTAGTGAAATGATCAATTTTAAATTAACGAGCAAGAGGAAAGAGAACACTTATCGTGCTTCCAATGTAAAATATTAAATTTGAAATGGTTGACGAACGATCTACTGCTGGAAAGAAGAGTATTAATATTCAAACCAGGACGGATGTTAGACCCATATTGAGAATGTATCGAAGAGATCTACTAAAGTAAATTGTAATCGATTCTGTGCTTTGGAACGCATTGAAAATGTATGACGCGCCTCGACTTTGAAAGCGTATGACCCGAGTGTTTCAAGTTCTCCGAGTTTTTATTAGTGAAATCGAAAAGTAGCAAGGAAATCTTTCTATATAGAAGCTTATTCTGCCTTTGCTAAAAATGGACTGGTCGATGTCAGATATTCGCTCAGCCAGGAATTTTGCACATTTATCCAGGGCTGTACCTATGTTTTTCTCTGTGGAAGAAGTGCATGAGAAACTATCAAAACTTCTAGGTAATTTTTTCTTAACGTCATCGTCGATATCGATTAGTAGTTCCTCTTTATTTTATAAAAACAATCTTTATCAAAATTTCACAATTTTATGCCTTAATTAAATCCAGTTTTACGATACAATTACAGATAAACCTACGGTAATTATATAATACGATGAATATTTTGTTAACAAAAATTGAATATATTGATCCAAAGATATTAGAACATTATTTCATTTTCTAGAGAAAGACAAACATGGACGAGGATCATTTTTGTTATGAGCAAATTTTGTTATGTTAAAATTAAAGAACATAGGGGAAAAACATGATAAGTTATATCTTTTGTCTTTTGTAGGACAGCAATTTTCAAATTTAAAATACATTGTCAATTAATCCCATTTTAATCTTGGGATTAAACATAAATTTTTACCATCCTCCGGATTATTTAAAGAATATCGATTATCATAAAATTAGTTAAGCTTCCTGGTTTCATCTTCTATTTTTAAGAAACTTACGATTTGTTCCCTTTTCAAATATGTAATATTAAAGTATTATTTAGTATTTCAGCTACAAATTGGTATCAAGATCAACAAACTGTAACTTATCATGTAATTCCCGAGTGAACTTTGATTATTATTGGAAAAGTGAATCTTTAAGGGAATTTACAAAACTTAATTTAAATTTTGCGCGATACAGATGGCGCTGTTAGATCGGCGGCGTTCGGTGGTTTTCGTAGTGGTTCGCGTGCTGTCGGTTTTCGCAATCAAGATGGCGATTACTGTCGGAATAGCGAAACCTGACTGTGGTGTGACGTCACGCCATAGTAGTGTTGTGCGGTTATGCGTTCGTGAATTCCGCCATTGAAAGCTAGTGATCGGATTCATATTAGTGACGGATTAGTAAGGACGAATATGTGACAGGGTAAAAGGGTTGGGCAGAGTGTGGTAAACAATCGTGAAGGTTTCCTGTTTCCTGATCGCCGGCGTGGCGCGCCGCGCGCGCGTATCTCTGGTCGAGTAGGCGGTATTGGACCTCGCACCGGGAGTGAGCTCGCGTGCGAACCTCTCTCTGGTCGCGTAGTGTCTCTAATTGCGAGATGGCCGGTAAGTAAGGCGTCGTGAGCACCGGTTTACTATGCGTGGTCGCTCTGTATTTCTACGACACGTCGTGAACCGAACAGTGCGTCGCTCCTGCTGGCCGCCTCGCCGCGCCGCGGCAACCTGAACCTTGACCCAGATACTATCACGGGTTCACGGGTATATCCGCAGCGCTCGCAGTGCACGCAACGTTCTTCTTCGTCAATTCCGCATCCTCAAATATAATCACCCGTACCCACTCTCTGGATACTTGCTGTGCGCGGGGCCAAATGCGCCCGTCGCCGGCGACGGCAGCGGCGGCGG